ACGCTGATCACAGGATGCCATTGTTCCTTACAGTCTTTCCGCCGATTGTGTTCTGAGGTGTGACGTCATGTCGTCTTGCAGATCGTTACCATAGTACCGCCTCCATTTCCAGGGTCTCTAATTCTCAGTTCCCACTTTGTTACATAATTTCTCTTTCGTCCTTTGTTATCACTTTGACGCTCCCAAAAATACTCAAGGCATTTCCCGCCTCCGAAGGTCCACTACCCCCGTTTAGAGGAGCCCAAAACTGGACCTAATCCAGACCATTTCTTAAAGAACCATTTTAATATTATCCTACCATCTTTGACTAATTTTCATAAGTTATCGTGTTTTTTTCAGAATTTCCCATCTCCTCAGGCGTGCTACATGATCTACTTCGTTTCGTTTTTGTTTATTTAACGATGATGTCAACAACCCACACTTTCAGAACCGTCGAATGACTGAATCAGCAGGTCAAATGACCGCAGAGCAGAGGTAAACCACGCACGACCATAATGGACACAGCGGAGGACTTGAACCGGGGCCTTCCGGGTGTGCGCAGTTTGATGAAAAACAGACCACGGTCCAAAAACGGCTCGAACGAGCATCAGGCGGAAATGTGATAGCGACTACGAGCCGACAGAGGAGACACGGCCGACGGCGTAAGAAACAATTGAAGAAAATAAATACACATACTGAATCGCTCGATGAGCCAAGCGCTGGCCCAGATTAAATGAAAAGAACGGCCAAGCACCCCCCCTCCCCCCGCAAACCGTAAAAATCCTACGACTGCTGATCCATTTGAAGTCGACGCTCGTCTAAATCGTATATAAGAATTCAGTCCGTACCGCGAAGAAAACACCAGCCTTCACCATTACAAGGATAAACTGGTTAACGCCGTTCAAGTAAATAATCGCTGTTTATTCTGTGAATCATACGAAACCCATAATGAGAGTCTATTAACCCGTCTAAATCGTATTTAAAGATTCAGACCGTACCACGAAGATCAACTGGTTAACGCTGTTAAAGGAAATAATCGCTCTTTATTCAGATAATTAATTAACCATTTGAAGCCGTAGCTCGTCGCACATATCGTCAGGGTAAATCTGTTAAGATTCAAAGCTTATTCAATCGGTTTGCCCTTGAGAGACATTATCTTGAAAAATGACTCATCTTATCAAAGAAACGCTGGCGTTGTAACAGTCAGCTAGCTCAGCGGTTAACAGATGCCACTGGGGCAGATCCTCGTACGATCAGGAGCACCAACCTAGGGCGAGATACACTCAAGACATTCTTCGCCGAAAGGATGACAAAGGATTCTGAACTCAAGTTATAACAAGGGTCGCATTGTGTAACTTACTAGCACTTAGTTTCCGCTCGTACGAACACGAACGGCAAAGTCGCAAATGCAAGTTACTTAAGTGACGTATAATTTCTCAAACTGTGTTTCGCGGAACCTTCGGATACCGAGATAATACTACTTGTGGACTAATTCATTCTAAAACGCCTTTGTCACAAGGGAACTTAGAAACACAACAATAAACCACGCGGTCTTCTAAAAGGCGTGGAATTTCTTGACTGGGTGAAATTAGCTCCTGAAGACGGCCTCTTTAGTTTGCCATCACAAAAGTCAACTTTGAACATAGCTCCATTATTTTTTAACAATCACCCGGTGAACACTTCGTGTACATTTCCCACGCAACAACAGTTGCCATCAGAAAGGTGCATTTTACTTTTCCAAACGGAAAACAAGCAACAATATAGCATTAAATAGTTACTTAAATTAAGGCAGACTAAATGCTAACTACTATAAATAAGAAAATCGCTTAACATTAAGAACGGAAACTGTTTAAAATGTAATTTTGCAAACTGGTTATTATTGCCCGCTTTAGAAATCGCGGTGTGACGATAGTTTCATACAACAAGCTTTAATTTTAATGAGCAGTCGATATCATACTTCAATTACCAGATGCTCTTAACTGATACACAACACGAAATGCCAAGGACAATGAAACAACGTATACTTCATGCATATTCAGTTAACAATCGTCGATTAATTGGTTCGATAACATCCACTACCGAGACAATTACAGCAACCGAAGACAACAAGCAATTTACGAACGAGAAACAATGCAATGACAAAGCAAACGACACTTACGTCTAATCCCCCAGTCCATCATAACTGGATTAGTAGTCCCCTCGACAATAAGAAGTCGGGAAAACGCGCGAACCTCCTCACTCCCCAGACACAACGACTGTCTTGGTCTCTCGTGAAGCTAGCAACTGCGATTACGTTCGCGGTACCAACGATGCCAGTACTGCCAACTGCACGTAGTAACAACCCCCAACAGAACAGGGAAATTCGTGCTAAAGGCGCTGTAGCAGTGCACAGACTCGCTGGATCCCAACGATTGATTTATTATCGAACTGTTTAAATACGTTCTTACAAATCCCAATGGTTAATAATAGAACCTACTGGAAAACCAGCTGTGAACGAGGAATTGAAAGAATACGTATTTTAGCAGCAGTGCCAAATTTTAAAACAGACAAGAACATCCCTCAGAAGATCAGAAATACCTTATCAGTGAAAGTAGGCCAAACCTGGAACTCTGGACCTCCATAACACGGGCTGGAGACCCACCCACTGAACTGAGGCGTTCGATCAATGAACGACCTTCTATATAAACACCATGGCCGGGGTAGCGGTAGCTCAGTCAGTATAGTGGATGGCTACCTGACCACGGACTTTGGCGTTCGATGGCAGAGGACTTTTCCTTTAGCCGCTGCGTCCATACAGATTCTGGGGCCCACACTGCCTCTTTGAGAGTGGGTACCGGTGACCTTTCCGGGGTTTAAAGCGCGGACCGGGCGTGACTCTGACCACACACCCATCTAGTGTCGATGTTTACAATGAGTAGAAGCTATACCTCCTCTCCCCCCCCAAGTGCCTAAATGGCGTTAAACGGGGCAGCTTTAATTTTTTCTCTAAAGAACAAATGGCAAAGACGCGAAGGGAAGTTACAAGGTTTTAACCTGAGTATTAGACGTATTTCAGTAGAGTGATTGATTCTCACTAAAGCCGAGAGACGTCTCAAGAACACTGGATGTGAGGCCGCCAGCGTCTTTTTCGCACTTATTTGTTTTTAATGTCACTTTCACTCACTGTTTACCACTGCCTAAATGTTTATCGAACTACATGTTTCGACCGCACGGGGCCATCTTCAGGTTCGATGTATCTAAGTGGTTATTGCCTTCGTATTAAAATCAAGACCCACTTCCACATGGACACTGGCAAACAGTGTCAGTAAAAACAAATTCAGGTACCTGAAGAGGAACACACCAGGATGCTGCATTACAGAATCTGATTGACACTACTGCATCGCTTTTCTGCACTAATAAGGATTATTTGTATTCAGGAGGTCCACGTATCAGCGAATACACCAATGACATCCATTTTACTTTCATTGTTTTCCACTCCCATGGGCTAATGAACGAATAGGGTAGCGAAATATGGCGAGCCCTCTTCTCGATATCACAGATTCAACTTTTGTGGGCACTGAACAATGCGGCCCTTATGAACCCACGAATAAAAGTGAGAATGTTTTCTGTTATATAAACATTGGCAGCTCCAATAAACAAAAAATTGTTTCGTTCGTAGCCGACACCAAATCATGATCCTGGAAAAAGGATTTCTGTATGAAGCGTCGTAACGTTGCTTGGACAAAGAGTGTCGTCAATTACGTAATGGATCCGTATAGAACGAGGAGGAGATAATTGTTCTGTAACGTAAGCGATCAATGTTCCTACCGGCAACCAGGCAGCCTTCTTCCAAAACAAATTAACTCCAGAAACCATAATGGTAGAAAGAAAGGCCGATTCCAGACCGAGACTCATAAACACTGACTACCACACTTGACGCATGGTAAATTACTGTCAGATACAACACTGAATTTTTGCATCGTCACCATGTTTTTTAATTTTAACTTACAAACAGTAATTGAGGCATAATTTGTGGGTAATCTGCCACGTTTCTGGATGCAACCGTCCATTAGTTATCGTTATAAAACAGGCAATTCCCCCAAATTAAAAGAATTGTTTCTCGTGTCAAAGGCGAGTGACCTCGTTTCAAAAAACTTCAACGAAAACGAGTAAGGCCTTAAAACAAGACCTTATTTATACACGTAATGGGGCCGTGGAAAACACACTTGTCATCGGTTAAATAATTTAAGCAAAATGTAAGGCAGACCTAGACAAAATCAACGCACAAGAGACCACATCACGCCGATACATGGAAACTTTCTCCACGCAATTCAGGGGTAAAGAGAAAGGCCTGAAAAACCAATACGCACAATTCAGGGATAAAGAGAAAGGCCTGAAAAACCAATACAATTTAAAAAATACACCAAGTGACAAAGAAAAGAAAGCTTAACCCAGTGGTAACCACATGTAAACAGCGGTTATTTCCTTAAACAGCGTTAACCAGGCGATACTCTTTAGCTCGCCTAAAATCGTCGTCACATCCACTTATAAAACTGCTTCAGGGTCCTAATGATGTCTTGGCACTCTGATTCAGGTTCATTTTTAAAGTTTCTACAACTCGTAACTTTGAATTGGCGCAGCATGTGATTACGTGTGCCCCGCGAGAGTCGCGCCGAAAAATCGTTTGGTCCGACGTGCACTTGAGCACAATTTCTACGTTCCACAACCAAAAACATTTCCCAGGGGCACTGCTGCTTTTCCCAAAAAGGGGAAAGCTTGGTTTATGCCAAAAAAATAAAAAAAGCTTTTAGCCCCGCCTGTCACTTTCCCAAAAGCTGCTTTTGCACAAAAAACCAAGTATCCTAATTTCTAAGGCCTGAACTTTGGACTTTGCTCCCTGTAACAGACGGCATCTCTTTACCTGTCAGGTGCACGCAGAACACTCGCGTACTAATTTTCTAGGGATTCTGCCAAGCGTTCCTCGCCCGCCTACGTCTTTAGTGCCGCATCTCCAATCTAAGAGACAAGCAATGTCGACTCACCACGCGATGACGGATGGTTCATCAGAATCGCAAGAGGGCACTCGTCGTCATCCAGTATGTATTCGCGGTTATTTGTCCCTCCATGGTACTCTTTGCTCTCCCCATTATCAGCTGGCACTGCCGTGTTCACCTGACACACATCAAACAACATCAATCTTAGAGCGGAGTCACATTTATTCTTGCTTAAATCATCACGTACATTTCGGGGTGACAATTCATAAACCACAGCGTAAAAGAAAAGCATGCAATACAGAAAACACTGAAGCAAGCGACAATCTAGGATAATTTGAACACGTGAACGACTGAACTGATTCAAACCACTTTCAGTTAGAATTACTTTAAGGCGGTTTATTAGCTTAGACGTCTCGTTCCATGTTTTACCTTTCAATATTTCTTAACGGCGTACACTTATAAAAGCCAGCACTTAATAGTGCTGAGAGTAATTGCACTAATCTGCTCTACTTTTAAAAATGAGAGCAACTCCGTGTTCCAATTCCCACGGACGTACGGCAGAAAGCTGTAAGTCCAGTATTAAAAAGAAATTTGTGAGGATACTTCAAGTTACGCAGACAGTGACAACTGAAGCCGTAATCTGGATACATCGCGGACATTCCCGTCTTCATTTCACTCGTCTTATTATTAAATTTAAATATAGCGTAGATTCGTACCTGCAGAAGGCAGTAGCTGTGGGGGTCCGTTTCTCGGTCCAGCCCGTACTTCGTCAGCATTTCTCTCACGACTTGCTGTGCTGTATCGCGGACGGACAGGAGCAAAGTTTTGTACGGGACGTCGCGACACAGGGACTCCCCGTAGATCTTCAACGTGCCCCCCGTGTCCGGTCCTCCGTCCTTACTGCGGAACTGCTGCAGCTTCCCCTCCAGCTTCTGCTGTCGACGACGACGCATGACGGCCTCCGGATTTGAGATGGAACGCGTGAAACTGGTCTCTGGAAGTTCTGAACACAATGGACGTACGTTAAGTCTCTAAAACACTTTAAAGCAAACTGAATTGAGAAACGTGAATACCAAAATCTATTAACATTCAGGCATTTCATACACCAACTATAGAACGAAATTACATTTTTATATCAAAATATTTATAATTACACACATAATCGCTACATTATTCATCGTAATTTTATATCACATAATCCAATTATCGGTCAGCAAACTAAAATGAGTTCTTGTAAGATATTTTAAGTATCGCACGTAATATTTATCCTGTATCTGTACAATCCACACAGACCCTTCAGCCCTCGTCGTACTCCGAACATAACTACGCCCCTTCTTTATACGTGAAGACGGAAACACATCCAGTTTCTGAAACAGCGAGCTTCAAAGAAACCGGAACAATGGATGCGACACAGAATAGGATTCATTTCATCGTAAGAGGCCATCAACAGAAACCTTCAGATTGAAATTAATGCACTGATTCAACAGCGGCTTCATCGCTGTAAATTTTGAGCTGAGGGTGACCACAACGGATGAAACGCGTAGTGCGAGTTGAGATTACGCACATCAGCATCTTATTTCAGAGTTAACGACACTGGCTTCACAAGAAGGATTTTTGCTCCACAGAGTTTGACAACGGGTACGTACCCGTGTACAGTTTTCCGGCAACACCTCCGTCATTTTCGTTGTTCGCCGGCGTGTTCGTTTTAAGTTTGTTCAGCTTTTCTTGTTTCTTGAGTTGCTTCTTCTCACGTTTTGATAGTTTCCGTCTGAAGCTCGAGCCGCCTTCTTGAAACCCGACTGCTGGAACCTGAAATCAGAACCGATTCACATTTTTAACAATAATTTAAGTCATTTTAAAAATAAGTATTCACATGTCACTTGAAAAAAATGGCTTATGTCTTTACTTGATTTTACAAGAAATGATTTTTAAATGCAAAGTCTGCAGTCAATACTTTTCCAACTGCGACAGAACTTACTCCGTCTTTCTTCACACATTTTAGGAATCATTTTCACATGTCAGAACCTGCCTACTTTTGTGGCAAGTCTCACACCTGTAACGTTTAACTACGTGATATAAAACACCTGTTACAAAGCAAGAGCAACGCGCGAGAAAATGTTGTTCGCCAACCACGACGGAACTGCAGAACCAAGAAACCCACAGGAGCGAATAAGATTTAATGGACACCGCTAAATTTTGTTGTTCAAATCTGTAACCAAAATCTGAGACACATTTCCTCAAATATTTCGTGCTCAGTACAGAGCCCAAATTTCTACTTGCATGACTTTCTGCCAGGGCTGCCACACTTACGTTGGTTTTGTCGTCTATTCTCCTCAGCAAGAACCTGCCCTCTCGGTCATCCATGTGCCAGTTGAGTTGCACCAGGAGAGGCTTCTCGTCCATACCGAGTCGCCGCTCATCTGTAAGACACATCCGCAATAAGACACAACTCATTCATTTCTAAATTCATTTATATAATTTTCTGAGTAAAAAAAAAAAATGCACCATCTTAAATTTTCTTAATATCAGAACAGAAAATGGATCCCTAAACTATCGTACACATTTCTGACATGGTATAAACAACTTTACTGCCATTAAATTTCGAAATGTCTTACTTTTCACTGCACGTTACTTAATTGTTTATGCTGAATTAACAGATGATATCAAGTTTTGGGGCCTAACATTTCATTACTTCAGAATTTACATTTTTTAATTCAAATAGCAAAGTACAATTTTAGACTCATTACAAATGAACTGATTAATCATAACCTGATCGGCTGAATTACGATGCAGGAAATCAATGTTTAAGAAACGTTTAAGGGCCACAGACGCCAAGTGCCTGCTCCCCCTTACCTCCGTTCTCGTGGATCTCATAGAGGGCGTACTCAGGTAAGGAGAGCATTCTCATGTCTGCGCGGAACTTCTCAATCAGCGTCTCGATGACGGCCTGACACGTGGCATCAGACGCCACGCGAATGCACTTCGTGGCGACCTTCTGGCCAGAATCTTGGAAATAGAAACGCATCACCCCATGAAACAGCAGATCCTGCAAAACGGAGAGTTCATGCAACCACGTCACGACGACGCCAAACTTCTTCAGGATGTAAGAATGTTTTTCAGGAGAAACTGTTTTCCTCCGATTCTACAAAGACACGTATCTGAGGGTTTTGGACAACCCCAAGCATTCCCATTTCTGTTTGAATTGACTTGTACTGTAAATACGGAGAAGTAAAATAACCAGAACTCTAAAATTAGACCTTATAAACAGGCAGGCAGCGTTCAGAAAGGGACAACCGTGTTTTACAGTTGTCTGCAGATTTCGTTTTCCTGCGGACTGGAAAGCCACAGGGGAGGGGAGGGGCGTGAGGGGGACAAGGACCCGGAAGACGCAAATCAAAGTTTGCGGGAATATCCCAGACTTCCTTGCAACACATCTCTCTCGCCACTTCAACCTTTCACCCTGCTTAAGACTTCGCCACTGACTCAGGGTCTCACCCGGCCTCCTGTCCAATGAACACCGAGGGTAAGGCGGCGAGAGCGCGGAACTGATAGCACTTACTGACGAGGTAAAGAACGCGTGGATGTCTGCCTCCACTTCCCCATGTACATTCTTGGTGTGGTGCCCCACTGACACGGCGTCCACTTGTTTCGTGAGGGACTGTGAGCCTATCAGCCCGTCAGCTAACACAAAACAAACGAAACTCGCATTCTTGAAACAACGCATACAATTTTTATCTGAAGCTGTCACCCCCCCGATAACAGTTAATGCTCTGAACACACAGAAACCACGAAATAAAGACGCAGACGGTCATAAAATATCCTGCAGACAGACAGACTGTTCTCTGTCATTCCACAAGAAGTGTAATTCATTAGCCATGAACCCAGACGTCTGTCGTCGATTAGCACTGGACTTATGGCAAGACGCCCTTCCCAAAGAAACGAGGATTAGACTCCGGATAATTCCGGGACAGTCCCGGAATGTAAATTTAAACCCGTCTTGAGAGAACACTTCCGAGCCGGTGAGAAAAATTGACTGGTC